TTCTATGCCTTTGATTGGAGAATTCGATCCATTAATATTAAAGTCATTATTGATAGGCAAGAACTTGCTAATTATATCTGATTAATTGTTCTCTGGCTGTTTGGTCATTCCATTTTATTTTATTTTTTTCTTCCTTTCTTACTGTCTTCCTTCGCAAATCAGTGATTTTCTGTAGTGGTACGCTTTGTTTCCTCTCTGTATCTTAGTGTATTTATTTTAGAGTTTTACTTTATGGTTCCCATGAGGTTTACATAAAACATCTTGTGGAGGTAACAGTCTATTTTATGCTGATAACAATTTAACTCTGCTTGCCTGCCAACTCCATCTTTTACTCTCCCCCTTTTTATATTTTTGATGTTCCATTTACATTTTTATTGTGTCACCATCCATTAACAAGTTAAGTTATAGCTATTTTTTATAATGTTTATTTATTTTTGAGACAGAGAGAGAGAGACAGAGCGTGAGCAGGGGAGGGGCAGAGAGAGAGGGAGACACAGAATCCGAAGCAGGCTCCAGGCTCTGAGCTGTCAGCACAGAACCCCCATGGGGCTCCAACTCACAAGCCTTGAGATCGTGACCTGAGCCGAAGTCGGACGCTTAACCGACTCAGCCACCCGGGTGCCCTTGGAGTTTTGTCTTGTTCTTCATTTTCCTTGGCTCTGCATTGGTTTCTGGTGGTCTTTTCTACCAGTCTTGGAGGAGTGGTATCATGTAGGAGATGAACTTTATTGGTTAGCTTAACCCTGGCTCTTGATTGTCCCTGAAGCCTTTGTGATTGTCCCAGTTGTCTTTTTTGTTCTTAGTGGGTCCCAGTCATTGAGAGTGTACCAAGACCTGTCAGTGTCTCAAAAGGGAGGATCTCACTCAGCGCCTAGATCCAAGCCAGTTGGAAGCTGGACCTTAAGCAGTAGCTTTGAAAGTATGCAAGTAGTTTTCTTTCATGGAAAGACTGGAAGCTAGTTGTTTCTCTTCACTGTCTCTGTGCTGAGCCCTGGGGGGATAGCCATGCAAGTCCTCAAGAGTCCCTTAAGAACTGTTTTTTTGCGGGGTCCCTGGGCGGCTCATTTCGTTGGGCATCTGACTTCAACTTAGGTCATGATCTCTTGGTTTGTGAGTTTGAGCCCGGCATTGGGCTCTCTACTGTCAGCACCAAGCCTGCTTTGGATCCTCTGTCTCTCGCTCTCTGCCCCTCCCGTCTTCTCTCTCTCTCTCTCTCACTCTCTCTCTGTCTCTTAAAAATACATGAATATAAAAAAATAAGAAATTTAAAAAAACCTGTTTCTTTGCTACAGTCTTGTGAGTCCCCTCGATACAAACCCCATTCACTTTCAGAGATAAGTATTTTGGGGGCTTATCCCTCATGTAACAGTCTTAAAAGCTGGGGCGGTAGATATTGGGTCCAAACTCTTTGCTCCTTAGAGAGAGACTGAGAGTTGTGAGTTCCCTTCTGATTGTGTGTTGCTATGCCAGCGGTGGGGTTTAGGGTGAGCGTGTGTCTCAGCCTTTCCTAACCATTTTGGTTTTTTCTCACTTGCCTGATGTGCAGGGGTCACTCAGCTTCTTTCTGGATTTCTTTCAGAGGGATTTATTCCACAGGTAGCTATAGATTTGGTGTTTCCATAGAGGAAGTTTCAGGAACCACCCGTGCCACCATTTTGGATGGGAACCCGATAATGATGTTCATGCCCTTTACTTGTGACATCAGTTTATTTTAGTCTGTACTTTTTATACGGTTTATTTTTTTGCAACCCGGTGTCTCCCCCAGAAATACTGTGCCTCTACTATCTTTCTGGCTAGCGTTATATAACTCACTGGCTTCATCTGTTAATGTTATTCCAAAACCATGTGGTCCTTATTTTTTCAATCAGTAAGCCCATGTTGGAGTTTTACCTTCTAGGATGTAAGTGAGTCAATGCTGTGAGTTCTTTCGCTTAGTTTTATCTGACTAATCCATAGTTTTGCAGCACACTATGAACCCTCTATCTACTCAGCTACTTTGTACTGATGAACTCTTGGTTTCCCTTTTTACCTAGCTATTAAATATAACAACAGGTGCACACTGGTCCGTCCTGTTGTTGGTAAAGAGTTGACTTTTTTCCAGGATTACTTGTCTTACCATTTCTGGTATCTATTATTTAGTCTTACAAACAAAGCAAGGAGATACCTGTGCTTAGAAATGTATACATTCTTGGGGCGCCTGGGTGGCGCAGTCGGTTGAGCATCCGACTTCAGCCAGGTCACGCGTGGGTTCGAGCCCCGCGTCGGGCTCTGGGCTGATGGCTCAGAGCCTGGAGCCTGTTTCCGATTCTGTGTCTCCCTCTCTCTCTGCCCCTCCCCCGTTCATGCTCTGTCTCTCTCTGTCCCAAAAAATAAATAAAAAACGTTGAAAAAAAAAAAAAAGAAATGTATACATTCTTACAGGGAGAAACAAACATATATATTAATGTACACATCATAATAAAACCTTTGTCTACCAAAATCAATTAAAAATAAACAAAGCTGTGGAGAAAAACAACTAAAAATAAACAAGGCGATCATATTTATTCATATTTTGTATTACAAATGTAAATGATTTCCTTTTGGATCATTGTGAATTCATAAACTTTTATACATTCAGGTAGTTCTAATTAACCATCATAATAAAAATATATTTATATAGAAATTGTTTAAACTTGTCCTTAGAATCCTTGCAAGTGAACTGCTTTATCTTTTTTAAAAAATTATTTTAATTTAATTTTGTTTTAGAGAGTGTGAGAGAGCACAAGTGGGGGAGAGGGCTAACAGGAGAGAGAGAGAGAGAGAGAGAGAGAGAGAGAGAGAGAGAATCCCAAGCAGGCTCCATGCTGAGCATGGCTCCCAACATGGGGCTTGATCCCATGACCCTGGGATCATGACCTGAGCTGATACCAAGAGTTGGATGCCCAACTGACTGAGCCACCCAGGTGTCCCAAATTCTTTACCTTATAATAGACTTTTTCTGTGATAAAGATTGTATCTTTCCCACAGGAGTTCACACTTCCTCTTTCTTTGCCATAACAACCGTGCTTTGTCTCATGTAGGAAAATCTTGGAGATTAATCGAGCTCTATTATCTCTTTCCCAACTCCAAAGCAAAGGTTAATACAGCATTTGCTCATTTTCATGTTGTCTTTTCATGATCTTAACTATATGGTGGACACAACTTTTCATTTGGCTCAGGAAACTTTCTAAAACAGACTATCTCTCATGTGTTTGAAATCATGTTTGTTTTCTGGAAGCACAGAATATGCCAGGTGCACTTTATTTTTTCCTGCCCTAGGTGGGATTTATATATCTTCTAAGACTCCTAGGTCCTTTAAAACATTTTTCAAATGTTTTTTTATTTTTGAGAGAGAGAGACAGAGTGTGAATGGGGCAGGGGCAGAGAGAGAGGGAGAGAGAGAGAGGGAGACACAGAATCTGAAGCAGGTTCCAGGCTCTGAGTTGTCAGCACAGAGACCGACAGGGGGCTCTAACTCACAAACAGGGAGATCATGACCTGAGCCGAAATCGGACACTTAACCCACTGAGCTACCCAGGTGCCCCACTAGACTCCTAGATAATTTTGATAAAGAACACATATTGGGATGCCTGGGTGGCTCAGTTGGTTAAGCGTCCAACTCCTGATCTCAGCTCAGGTCATGATCTCATGGTTCATGGGTTTGAGCCCCATGTTGGGCTCTGCACTGACAGCACAGAGCATGCTTGGGATTCTCTCTCTCCCTCTCTCTCTGCCCCTACCCTGATCACACACATGTGTGCTCTCTCTCTCTCTCTCTCTCAAAATAAATAAACAAACTTTTAAAAAAAGAACACATATTACTTTAGACAAAGATCTAGTTTCTAGGGTTGCTCGTGAGAATTTGTGGGTAGGTAATGTTGTTGCTCTGGGAATACTTTTGGTTATGACAGTGTTGAAAAATGTGTTGTCAAATTTATAATTTTACTTCCTTCACTCCCAACTTAACATAGCAAAGTAGTCTTTCATTCAAGATCACTAAATATATATGTGTATGTGTATGTGTATGTATATGTATATGTATATGTATATGTATATGTATATGTACATATACTTAAAGTAATATTGTAGCTTAAGGAAGAATGCAGGTGGATGGCCATATTTTGGAAGCTAGAATTTAAGAAAGATCTCTAAGTTGCTAGATACTTCTTTTTGTGATCTCAGGCTGCTGTAACAAAATACCATAGGTTGGTGGCTTAAACGACAGACATTTATTTTGGACAGTTCTAGAGGCTGGAACATTTGAGATCGTGATGCTGCAGCATGGGTGGGAGGGGACCTAAACATTCAGTCCATGACAGTACTGTAAATGAAGCCAGGGACCCTGATAGTGTCTCTGTCACAGAATGTTACATTTCCTTTTCCTTTGCCTTAACAAGCTTATTTTCTGTCATCAAGGAAGATTCGGGGAATTAATCAACAGCTCCACCATTCCTTCCTCAAATTCAAAATAGAAGTTCCTGTGTCTTTGCATACAGCACACATGCACTGTGTACATGAGAAGCTTTAACTCATTCCACACATTGTCTTTTGCCATCCTGTACACAACTAACTGAGCTCAGAGAACGTCTTAGGGGCGAATCTACCTCAAACATGTAACTGACTTTGAAAAAGAAAAAAGATGAGGGAATGTTTATTAAATTTTTATAAGACATAATAATGATTCTTTTGGGGGCATTACTAAACATTTTGTGTGAATGAATAAAAACAAATTGAGTAATTTCACGTGACATGCTGATAGTGATCTCAACATACTTCTGGAAATTTCTACTGACTGTTTTTGGGTGTTGCTTTCCCAATTTCCTTTTGTCTTTGCTCTGTGTCCCAGAGTGAATCAAAGGAAGCCCGTCTTTGAAAAGACTTCTTTTGACTTATTTTTTATACAGGGAGCTTTCTGATCTTATTTGGAATAAGATTAATGTTCACTCTCAAGTATTTCTGAGGGTATACTCCCTTACTCACAGGACTACACCCTTGTGGAAAAATACAAGAGGTTTCTGGTTCTCCCAACCACTGGACAACAAGAGAGTTAATACACAATGAGCCAAGAACCTCAAAATAAACGTGAGTACATTCTCTCCTTTCAATTTGAAAGAGACAAATGTGATTATGACTAAGATTTTTTTTAAGTTTATTTATTTTGAGAGAGAGAGAGAGAGCAAGTGAGGGGGGGGCGGAGGGGGGGGGGAGAGAGAGAGACTCCCAAGCAGGCTCTGTGCTGTTAGCACAGAGCCCAATGAGGGACTCCAACTCATAAGCCATGAGATCGTGACCTGAGCCGAGATCAGGAATTGGACATTTATTTATTTTTTTTAATTTTTTTTTTCCAACGTTTATTTATTTTTGGGACAGAGAGAGACAGAGCATGAACGGGGGAGGGGCAGAGAGAGAGGGAGACACAGAATCGGAAACAGGCTCCAGGCTCCGAGCCATCAGCCCAGAGCCTGACGCGGGGCTCGAACTCCCGGACTGCGAGATCGTGACCTGGCTGAAGTCGGACGCTCAACCGACTGCGCCACCCAGGCGCCCCAGGAATCGGACATTTAAACCACTGAGCCACCCAGGCGCCCCATAATTAGGACTAGGATTTAAAAATACAAATTAACAAAATTATAGTTATGAAGATTGAAGATGAGGAGGAGGAGGACATTAAAGGAAATGACAATGACTTTGGTGAAGAGGAAGGTCATAGATAGATTCGATTATGTTGTGAAGGGAAGCTTCTTTATGAAATGCAAACTGGGCCAAAAGAGGAGGGAAAGTATACAAAAGAAAAATAAGATGGGAAGAAAGAGAGCAATTCGGGAAGATTCTTTTAAAGGCAAGAGGAAGAAGGAAGATCTACAAAACACGATGACCAAGGCTCACAGTTTACCTGGGGGCTCTGCCGTTATCCCCTTTTATGCTGCACTTAAGTGTCACAATGTATTTGCTTTACAAGAATATTGAGTAATATTTTTGAGAAAGAGAACAAATGCAGAAATACATAATTTAAAAATTAATGTTTTGCTTCACCTCATCAACCCAAGCATGGCAAACTTCAGTGGGAGCACAGAGTATACTGGTCTTGAAATTTTTTATGTAACAACACATCTTGAAGACTTTTTCCGTTGATACTTACTGATGTATATGATTATTTTAATCGCTGTGAAGAATTCCATCATAGAGACTCGCCATAATTTAGAATCTGCACTAATACACAAGCAAGTGTTGGTTTCTGGTTCTGGTACTGCAATGAATATCCTTTCCTATAAATAAGTTCAGTTATTTTCATACGACAGATCTCCAGGATTGAAATTGTCGCGGCAAATGTAATGCATTTAAAAACTTTTGAAAAAGGCTGCTAACTTGGTCTGTCTGAAGCCTTTCTAATTTATATTTCGTCAGTTGCATTTATTTCCTCACCAAGAGAGTTAATTTCCCCCCCAACCCTACCAACACTGCATATTTTTTTGTTTTCCTTTAAAACTCTCATTTGTGAAAAAGTATATCATTGTATATTAGTTTACATTTCTTTGAACATCTTTTTTTTGCTTAATGGCCATTTATAATTTCAGAAAATTAAGTTTTCAGCAAATATCCGGATCCGGTTTTTGCTTAGTTTTTGAATTGACTTTTGAAATTCTCTACACAGCGTAGACAATAATATTGTGACAAAATTTTCTTTCATATGGTGCTTGTGTCTTAACATTATTCATGTTACATAGATGTTTAAACTTTTATGGACATAATTGGCATTATCAATTTTTTATTATTTGGGGGTTTTGTGTCTTGCTTATAAAAAGCCCTTCCTGGGGCGCCTGGGTGGCGCAGTCGGTTAAGCATCCGACTTCAGCCAG